TCTAAATGTTATATGCAAAGCCAGCTGTTATAATACTGCTAATTTCTTTTCCAAAACTGGTTGTTTTACCATTACTTTCATCACCATGCCTCAAAGAAAAATCCAAAAAATTTCAAGAGTGAGAAAAATAAAAATTCTTTCCGATGATCATGAACATACACCTGCCTACCAATACATAGCTATAAACATGTGGTAAGCACTTTTTATGGCTGTAATGTATTACCGAACATTTTCTAATATCATTACAGAAAAAGTTAAAACCTGCAGTTTTTAACACACTGAAATTGGATTCCACGTAAAAATACTAATTACAGTTTGTGTACACAATGTGGCATGATTATCTCGTGCAGAAAGACAATGGGATTAGTTAGTTATGCTTCATTGCAAATGATACCTGTGAAATTGATTTCAAAATAATGACATTGTTACATAATTTAGCTAATAAAAAAGAAATATCACCTCTTTACTTGACTACTGACAACATATTTATTATTTATTTGGCACATTATCAGGTCTGGACGATTTCCAAAAATGGAAGTCAAGAACGATAACTGAAAGTTGCCATAAGTATACATCATATACACGTAAATATTTTTCTGCCCAATCAGAACACAGCATTTTTACACATCCCAAAACATATTTCAAAGGGGTTAAAGTTAAAACTGAATATGTATCCAATATTTCACCATCTGCGCTCACCCAACGGTGATACATGTACTGTTAACATACAGGGGTTTTTCTAGGTCTTTAAATCAAGAGCCTGGGCTTTTCTATTTGGAAAAAATAGCAAAATTTGGTTGTAATTAGCAGCAGGGACCTATATATTGTTAGTATATAGGTCCCTGTTAGCAGATTAGAGAAAATATCATATTTAACACTTTTTTTTCTAAATGAATTCGAGTTTTTCTTCATTTGCAAGGTATTAATTGATTTATTTTACATTCAGTTAATCAGTTTATGGAGCATGCCTTTTAAATTTTTTTTAGCATCATTCCTGTTACATGTATACATGTTACTGAGTTCGACGGACATTATTCTAACCATACTTGTTTGTTTCGATTGTCTTGTGTGCAGGGGTGTGCAATTACCATCGCCCGACGCCCGGGGCTACCAATTTTAGAGATCGGGCTATCATAAATCTATACTGCGTTAGCCCGTCGGGCTAGTAAACACTGGTAAATCTAAAACGAAAGTATACATATATTTACGGCGACTGAATTGATGTACGAATTAACCTTGTTGTAAAATCATAATCTTTAATTCGTTTTAACCTATATGTTTTGTGTGTTGCTATCGCCAGTCGTTTCAGTGACATAATAATTATAGCAGGGACCTAGTATATAGGTCCCTGATTATCATAGTCGATAAAAATAGGGAGAAAAAAGCGCAAACCATTATTTGTTTTATTTATTTCAACTTAAATGTTTTTTTTTTAACCTTTTTGTTATACTTATACATGTATTGTTTTCGGTAGTTAATGGGCTAGTGACTGGCAACCTCGGGCTAGTAACTTTGTTACTGCCACTAGCCCGACGGGCTAGTAACTAATTTTTGTAATTGCACACCCCTGCTGTGTGAGTTCTTACGTCCACTGTTCTTGGCAACTTAGCCCATCTTCCCGTTTCTGACCACTCCATATTGACTTCGGTACAAATTATGAGAGCAATGAATTCCTATTAACTTACCTTTTTTTTTTTTGGTTCTCTCCAAAGCTTTGCATTTACTTAGGCGCCATATTGAGAACATTAAGAATTTCGAACCCGATCTAAATTCAACGGATTTCTCTAAAATCCATATCTTCTAAGTAATTTTTAATAAAATTTTAAACTCCTTCAAATTTTCATTAATCATATAAATCACATTTTTCCAATTATTTTGAGTACAACTGAAAGTACATGTTTCTCATTTATTCTCATTTATTCCTTGTAAATAAAATTTCACATCAAATATTTATCTTTGTTTTACTTTGTGTTGCTGGAATTCAGTTCAACCTGACTATCCCAAGAGCAGACTATTATCCCCTCTTAGGGTAGCAGTACAGTAGAATAGAGGGCCGTAGGAACAGAGAAGTGGTAATGGTGGGGAATGTTGGACACAAGCCCCCCCCCCTCCCCTGAAGAAACACTCAAAAATATCATTTTTGAAACAGAGTAGATCATAATTCATTTGTTTAAAGTAACACTGCTAGATTTTCTTTATTTTATATGTGAAAAATGACTTCAAGGATGCACCAGAACCCACCAAAATGTATATTCATTTATTAATGATTTTAATTTAAGGATTGCACAGGATTGAGTCCTGGAAAAATCTTGTGGTTGGCATATGCCCCCCCCCCCCCCCCCAAAAAAAAGGTATAAGTAACACAGGCACTTGATTCGATAAAAAAAATTAACCCATAGTATAATAATATTGCGTTATTACTATACTATGGGTTAAAAAATTTATTACTGAAACAAGTGCCTGTGATAAGTAAGTAGTAATTAAAAATACTAATAAAAGTACTTCATAACACACTAATTGGTACAGTGTGCCCCAAAGAGGCATATAAGTAAGAAAAAGTACAAGTAAACCCAATTTTATTAATACACCAATTAGCAGAGTTATCATACATGTAAGTACATGTATCATACAACAAAAATATGTATGTATACTTATCTTGAAGCTTTTTTGACATTTAAATCTTCTATTTAGAATTTTATTGATTTTTTTTTTTTTTAAATTGGGTAGTTGTGGTACACTACCCCCGTTTTATATCCTTTTTCTTTTGCTAATAAATACATTTTATCATTTCATATAAAGACTTCAAAATTATCTTTGGTAGACCCAGGATTTTTTAAAGGGGGGTTCAACAGGCTAATAATGGGGTGTGAGCCAGTGAGGGCCACCTTGTGGCCCCAGTGGGTAAAGGACAAAAGCCCCTTTAAGCTCCGAGGATTTGGGTCCTTTTTAAATCAGTTTTGTGAGTTGTGTTATGTATATTTTATGTATAATAAAAGCAATATCTAACCAAAAAAAATGATTATTTCACCTTTACTAAATTTTGGCACACATGAGGGGGAAGGGGTATATAGAAACTGTTTTAAGAACAGTTTTTTACGGTAATAGAAATTTCATATTCATCCAGGATTTTAAATCTAAAATACGAATAATAGATTTACCTCCTAAAATTATGTTTCTGGGGAACATAACAAATTTTATTTTAATGCTTTATAGGCAGTGAAAAGGAATTATACACTTAAAGACCTTGAAGACTCAGATTCATATTTGAGTTGTTATTAATATAATTATGATATATGCTGATAAAACAGATAATGACATAATATTAAAAAATAATATTTATACATAAAAAATTAACAAATGTAGTACCTTAGAAAATTACATGAATTAATAGCCAAATTATTGTTACTACAAAATAACATATCTTTACTTATAATATCTAAAATTATAGACAGAAACTGTTTACATCATTGAAAACTGCAGAATAGAGTAAAAACCTCTGCAATACCTTAAATTCTTGAACATGTAATTGTAGAAGTAGTCTTTGACAATATATGACATTGTAAGTCTTGTTCAAATCTTAAACCAAATTTTACTCATTGTTCAAAAACTAAAGAGTGTCATAAAAGGAAGGAAGTGGTTTGTGTTGCATTAATTTTTGTAGAATCGTTTGTTATTGTATCTCAAAACACAAATCTCAGATTCTCGTACACAAGAAACCCACCCCCCCCACCCCCCCACCTCCCCGCGCTTACTATCAGCTTCTTTAAATAATGCGTCAATCATATCCATGTTTCGAACGTCAAACCATGAGCATCCACAAACTTAATAATTAATTAAAATAAATATTTGATGATTTTTAAAAAGATGTATCATTATGAATGAAAAGAAATTAAAAATGTGTATTCAGAATTTCCTCGACGTTCGCTGTTAGTCAATATTGACGCTATGCAAGCGCGTCGTATAAAAAAGGGGAAAATAATATACAAAAGACGTATAAAACATAAAAAAAAAACAGCTGCAAATGATAGTAAGTAACAGATTTATACTTACGAAAAAGGATCCAAAGCACTTCGAGGCGTCTGCCATCGTCTTCTTTTCTGGTTCTCCAGGTCGACCGGAAACCAGGCAACTTATTGCCAGACAAACATGAGTCATTTGTAGACCATGAATTTTCGAAATTTTAAATACTGAACTCACGAATGAATGAAGGGTAAGAAAATATAGGAAATGATTAAACTAAATGGGATATTAATTAAAACTATTCATATATAGCGGATTTTGATTAATATTACACATTTTCTCTGGGCGACTTAATAGATATATATATTCCTATGAAAATATATGCCGGGTTATAAATAATTTAATTATTTCTCGCTATGCGAATAAAAAATGCAGAAATTATAATTGCATTGAAAAAAATAATTACGAAAGAGTCTTATTTCAGGACATCAGTCATCTTACCACAAAGTACACTGCCTTAAGGATCAGTTAAAATATTAGGGTGACCGGAAAAAGTCTGCTTAATCCATTGGGGTCCCAGACCGATATATAAATGCTTAACTGGGTTCCCTAACCAAGAAGTCCGGATTATATATATATATATATATATATATATATATATATATATATATATATATATATAATATATATATTTATATATATATATATATATATATATATATATATATATATATATATATATATATATATATATATATATATACTTATACGGTAGATTCCTAAATATATGCGATGGATTCATTAATGTGTACTTTAGCCAGAAGCATCACTCAAGAAATATAAATACTTGTTTTTATTCTTACATTGCAAAAAATCTATTGATCAACAGTCCACACACAATTTCATGTTCTTGCCATTTGATGTCTATGAGCAAATTTGTAATATCAAGTACTCACGTAATACAATTGCAAGGAATCTACATCATTTTATAAACAAAAATAATGTTTACATTCTATTACTATACTGGTACAGCACAGTACCTTTGGCTTCTTGATACTGGTTCCCATCTCTTCTCTCTCCAGAACCAGCTGAGCAGCAGATTCTAGATCTCCCTTAGCAACCCCCAAACAATGGGTAATCTCTAGTGTACAGGAGTTAGGAAACATTTCCAGGAGCATCTTAACATCTTCATTTGGTTCCTCATCCACCTAAAGTCATTAAGCGTAAAATTTATAAACATTTGATTATCTAAAAGATATTGGTATTACCAAACATCTCCTCCTTCCTAAGATTTGTCAAAAGTACTGATTTCTGCCATCATGTCAATTATTTTGAAAGAGATTTTCAAGCTTTGGCCAACTTCAAAAAAGTTTTTGTATTCTCAACTCTTATTTTTAAACTTTTCTGTCATCTCATTAGAGTTAATTAACAGAAGTTGGTTTAGAAACCGCAAATGTATATAAAATTTAAAATCTAGAGATACAGAGATAACAAAGAAAATGACATGACAGGAATTGTTCTGTTAAATGTGTATTTTCATACAATATTCCCATTCACTTCATCTGGTGTGGTTTCATCTTTTAAAATTTGATGGCTTGGTTTATCTCCCTTAGAACTGAACTCTACAGCATTTTCATTCAAATCTAAAAAAAAAAAATAATAAATTTCAAATCACCGGGAAATCTTTATAGATTCTGAATTAGATTATATGTCAAACATGTATCTATGAATCTTAGTTTTCAACTGTTAGAATTTTTTATTATCAAAATTAATAGAAGACTTAATGAAAAAAGTGTTTCAAATTACATGCAAACTAAACTTTCTTGAATTTAAATAAAAAATGATTGCAAACATTACACATGATTAAATGATTTGGTTCATACTCTTAAATACATCATCACAGAAAATACATTGCTCAGATATTTATACATACCTTGATTGTCAGTTGTAATTGTGTTAGAAAGCTCAAACATCCACTCACAAACTTTAACACTGAAAACAGAAACAGAGCTATGAGATAAGGTGTATGGCGACAGAAACAGTAAACAGTAGCTGTATAATTGTTATTTTTAGATACCACTATACAGATAAATGTACTTTTAGTACTCTTGATACATTTTCAGGCCTACTATAAAAATTTCTCTCCCATGAAAAAAATAAATCTGTAACAATCATGACTGCTTCTCCCAGTTTCAAATTTGCATTTAGTCAAAATCCTTATATATATGGATCATACACTCAAATTAGGTTTGATACAAAAATTCTATTCACATATATATATATATATATATATATATATATATATATATATATATATATATATATATATATATATATATATATATATATATATATATATATATATATATATATATCAGAAATTATACATGTAAGTATCCATCCTAACATATATACATGTACTTTGATATTTATTCAAGTATCAATTGTGTGTGTATCTATATCCATTCCTGAGTAGAGTTTCCCATCAATTGTGTGTATCTATATCCATTCCTGAGTAGAGTTACCTATCAATGGTCCCAAACCCTGGAATGTAAGCCTCCATCATTTCAGTAAACTGGTCCACGTCGATATTCTCCTCTGCATTGCTATCATCTCCCAGGTCCTCCAGTATACTGATCACATAATTCAAAACTATCTCATCTATATCTCTGAAAATTTACAGATTAGTTCACTATTATCACTGGAAAATTTCAAAATCATAAATTTGACAGTCTAATTAGCATTTAATTAAGTGACAGTCTATAATTTATTTGATTTTTTTCCTTAAATAAATGTCCCCTAAAGAAAATTGCAATTTCATCACTGAATTGTTTTTGTTCTCAACTTATATTTACAATACTTAATCATTCAAGCTGCTCTTTCAATAACTGTGTAAAAACAAAGAGTTTTGAGTGAGTGTGCACAATGTTTTTTAGAAAAACACTTCTCTGGAAAAGAAAAATTGATGACATTGCTTTTTCTTTCTTTCTTGTGGGAATTTCCTGATAGCATATGCTGCAAGCTCTATCAATGTCCATGTAAGAACAAATAATTACAGAGTCTGAATCTGCACATCATTGATGAAATTTCTGTTTGTTTTTTTTTTTTTTTTTTTTTTTTTTTTTTTTTTTTTTGAGTGTTGAAAATATTACTTCTTATTGTTTACCCTATACTATTCTCCAGTCCATGACTCTGTAGAAATTTTCCAAGTTCTCCTTTGACTACCAATTCTTTTCCTGGTGTAGCCATCCAGACAATGCCTATAAGAATATAAAGGAATTCTGATAACCACTGTTTTTAGTCAAAACCAGTTAACAAAATAAACTTACTTTTGCATTCTCATAATGGTGATCTGTTTGATATGTCTTTAAGTTTATAACGTTTGATCCAGACCCTATTGAATATCACTTGGTATCCACTTGTGAGAATCTTCCAAATTTCAACCTTCAGGTGTGCGTCTTCAATTTTGACTTTGTTTTGTAAAAATAGAAATTGTTACGTCTTTTTATATTTGTTTTTTCATTGCAGCAAATTGGTGGTAAATAAAATTCCTATAGATAATATACCATAGCATGAGTCAAACATCTCCTCTCTTGAAAAATTGATCCCACTTTGAACAGTGTGAAATTTTTAGCAATGTCAAACTCATATGAATTTGTAACCACAACCCCATTTAAAAAGGTCAGTTCCTTACCAAGTAACATTCACACTGATATTTTAAATATGTTTATACCAGAAATAAACAAGCATTCTGAGAGTATTGCATTAGCAATACTAGTCCCCTACCGGCAAGTGTAATCTGGTTCCCGTTAAAAATGGAAAATGCCATAATTCCTTCAAAAATCAATGAAGTGGAAAAAAATGCATACTTGATCTATAACTCATCAAAATGAAGTCACATATCAAAAATCAGCTCAATATCTGCAAGCGTTTAGAAAAAAATTGCGGAAAACCAAGTGGGACAGACTGACAGACAGACAGAGGGACGGACAGACAGACTGATGGACAGATTTGGAGGAAACCTATAGTCCCCTCCGGTTTCACCGGTAGGGACTAATAACAGGTTATATATGTCTGTGATCTATACACTAGTGAGATATATAATTTAGTCCAAGAGAGATGTGATATAACACAATTTTAAACAACACATTTTTTATTTGATAAATACTCCTAATTTATTATCTATAATAATCAAATTGTAAAACCAATGGCATGTAATTTCATGTAAAAAAGAGTGTTTCTAAAATGGGTAGTAAAACCTGTGCTGGACCTGGAATTTCGAAACTGAAAACTAATTACTGAAAAAAATCTTAATTCTTCATCACGAAAGTTACACATGTAATTTAATACATCAAAATCATCAAAGTTGTTTTTGCTGAGAGTTTTAACTTCAAATATTATGTTTTTCAATGATTATTAAAGATTGCCATTTTCCCAGTTGCTAAAATAGGTGAGAGACCCGGTTTATTCATTTTAGTGAATTAACGTTAATTACACTCAGAAAATGGGATTTCTTTGTTTTTATGTAATCATTGTTTATTAATCCTTTGTGTGCGGGGACCCAATATATTGGGTCTGACTTCACAAATGCTTGCGTGCAGGGACCCAATATATTTAAGAACTTAGATATTACGACAATAATATCGATTAAAATAATTTTTTAATACCCGGGACAAGACAAAACTGGATGTATTTGCCCTGGGCAAACTGGAGTATTCCAAAATATTGCTGTCAGATATAACCGAGTGCAGAGAAAAGAATGTAGAATTTATTAAGACAGTAACCTATACACAAACAAAATAAATATACAAATGGAAAAAATAAATGAAAAATACGCAAAAAATCCTGAAAATTCTTTTTTTTTCAGTTTCGAAATTCTCGGCCTGGCCTGGGTTTTACTACCCATTTTAGTCACACTCTGTAAAAAACCAGGAGCAACTTTACTGGTCCCCAGAAAAACGTGCTAAAATAGTGTCAACATAGGCGACTTCAATATATATGAAATCGCGCGAGTGATAAAAAAAAAAAGTACGAGGTTTTTGGCCTTTTTGACCCTAAAATAGAATTCTATGGTTAAAAGTTTAGTTTAAAAAATCGACAAAAAATAATTGTCAATGAAGCATGTGCGGCACATGTTTAGTGTTGTTTCTTTCGTACTTTGCCATTTTTTCATGTAAACAAACCAACGAAATGCCGTTGAAGCTGAATTAAGACCCTGCAAAAAATACAGAAGCAACTGAATTTCTTAATTTATCTCAAAGAACGAGTCACTGGCCCTAATCTCTCGGATGGTATGCAAGGACTAACCCAAATCTCCCAGGCAGATGCTAGACTAAATAATGCGCCAGGACTTAACCTAATCTCTCGGATGGATCCGAGACTAACCCTAATCAGTCGAATACTTGTGCAAGGACTAACCCGGGTGCAAGACTGACCCTAACCAGTTGAGAAGTGTGCAAGACTAACCCTTATCAGTTGAGTGACGTAAATAATACGTCATAGTGCAATGAGCGCGCGGATCTTGCGGATCTGGGAAAGGTAAATTCTACCCAAAAAACCATGTAAAAAAACAAAAATTTTGATGAGACAAATGGGTTTTTGCAAGAAAATTGTGAATGAAAAATCTAAAGTCAACAGAAACAACAAGTGTACTTCTGTCTGTAGGTTGGACTTGACATTTTGGTATCATAGTTATCATTCGTTCATGATACCAAATGAAAAATAAATAATATTATAGTGACAATTATATAATAGGCTAAATTGAAATTAACTTTGCAAAAGTTCACTTATCAAAAAACACTTGAAATAAAATCTATGCATTAAGCGTAATGATGTATTTTTGCATCTTTAATTTTCTACATGTACCGAAAATACTTCTTCGCTTATATTTGCATGTATTTACCCATATAATTTTGCTCGTAGCCGCGCCGCAGATCTTCAAAAGTAACAGCTTTGTTTACACGGGAACTCGGGCAAAATGTTCTAAGTTTAAAACGAACAACAGTCAACTTTTTAAAATCCGGATTAATAAAATATTGAATTTCCTTTAAAGCTAACAGATAAGTAATGTGGTTGAAAAATATACCTATGCTTTGTACAATTATCAGCAACAGAAACAAATCAGAACATTTATTTTTTGACACTTTTTGAAAGTTAATGTTCCTGAACATTTTTTTAAAGGTTTTGAACGTTATGTCGCCAAACATTCAAAAGATTTCGACACTGTGAAGCGTCTCCCTGAGGAAGTTGGTAGGCGAGAAAAAAAATGAGCTCTAAGGTTGCACTCAGGGCCCAGAGCCAACTTCTGTCAATTTTGCAGAAGGGAAAGTAAGTTAAACATGTCATTACGCCTATAGTGAAATTCAGTTTCTTTGATTCAGTGTGAAATTCAAGAAGGTACTCGCTGACCTTGCAGATTAGTCAATGATAATTAACTGACCTTCAGAGAAATTTGATACTTAATAACATAGGGCATTTACACATTAACATTACTTTTTTACTGCCGATCTGTTGGAAGAAGTGTACTTGCTGAATATCTGTCATTGTTACAATTAATGTGCTGATCAGCTGCTTCTCTTTCAAATCACATGAGTTTATGTACCTCTTGAAAATATTGAAGTACAGGAAAATGACCCTTAAGATTTAATGTCACTGATTATTTAAAGGGTATGCTCTGAAAGAAATAATAAATGCATTCATAATAATTCATTATTGAGGACAAAATAATATGTTTGATTGTGCGGTAAGCACACTTGTATTTATTTCTGGAAAAAATCATAAACCTTTTTATTAAACACCTTAAGCATGTTAAGATAGATCCACCTCTTCAAACCACACAATACATTTGGAAGATTAAAGATTGATTAAATAACCAAGTTATTAAGTCTGCCTTTTAAAGTCTGTATGCAGAAATTTGGGTTTTCATTTACAGGTCATATATATCTTTCACTGTGCAGAATCCAGAGACACATACACATTTGATCAATAGAAAATTTGAACTTTTAAAGAGGGTGATATTATGCAGAGCTTGGTCTAGATTATTTTTTTATGTATTTAGGATATATATATATACCCCAAATTTTATATATCAATGCTGGTTTGCTAGTTATTTGTGCACTCCATTATCAAATTTCGTGTAGTTTTAAAATGAAATAGAAAAGGATTTTGCCAAAATGGTTCATACATACCCCCATGTCATTGGCTTTTATGACATCTTGCCATATTTATGGACATAGGTTAAGCATGGTATTGATTATGACTTTGAAATACCTACTGTGTTTTTGATGTCTGTTGTTTTCACTTGTTGTATGCAGGTTTGCTCAGCCACTGGTATGTGCCTTCCATACCTCTTCAACATCAAAATATGGTAAGATGCCAACCATAAAGAAAGACCTCATCAACCATTCTAGAGTCAGGGGTATTGATATTTTGCGGACTCCCAAACTGAACAAGGTCTGTATAAATGCCAATTTATATTCTGTGTAGATTGCAGTGTATTTAAGACCTATGCTTGTGTAAGGCAAGTGTATTATTAACACCTCTGAGATATGTAATCTCGGCTGAGATTCAGCTTGGCTGGATAGTTGGGCTAACACTGTTGGTGAGGGTGTTCAGTCCAAATATTCAGCCAAGCCAAATCTCAGCCAAGATTAGTGAGATATGGTTTGTAATTTCTTCTTTCTTTTAAATTTTGATAAGATGATTTAATTCAAATATATACTAACAGTTGAACAAAGGTATCTCGAACACGGGTACCTCGAATATCATGGATATGTCGAAGTTATTTTGAAGTTCCAACCCCTTATTCCTTAAGTATTTTACCCTGGATATCTCAAATCCTTGGATATCTCAATTTTTTTCTTGGTGCAATTGAGTTTGAGATAACAAGGTTTGACTGTATATGAATGATGTACAGATGTTAAAAAATGAGTATCTTCTCAAGTAAATTCTCATTAATTTCAACATGTAAATTAAATATGATGCAATCTACCAGTCACTGGGTCAATTGTTTACTTATATTAATAGCAACATAAATAATTATTTTTCTTGTAAGGGTCAAGCATTCACCTTAGAGGAGAGACAGTTGATGGGAGTGCATGGCTTGATCCCTGCAGCCATTATATCTCAGGACCAACAGATGGAACGAGTCATGGTCAACTTTCGATCTCGGGCCACTGACGTTGACCGCTACATCTATCTCAATGCTTTGGCTGAGCGAAATGAGAGGTTGTTTTACCGATGTCTTGTGGAATACACAGATTTAATGATGCCCATTGTTTACACTCCTACTGTAGGCAAGGCCTGCCAACTGTATGGAACTATCTACAGAAAACCCAGGTGGGTACATTTAGTAGTGTAGCTTTCTTCTGTTTATTATTATATTATTCCAAAGGTACATTATGTGAATAAAAAATATAATGCAGTAGAAATTGAGGGAATATCTATGCAGTGACCTGCTGGATTTAATTTATTGTATTCACCTAGATATCTGGTATTGAATGTACTTTGTACACACTTCTCTTAACACATGTTTAACAGTCATGTATAAAGGAATTATTTAGTAAATCCATTTCACATTAATGCAAGCAAAGCAAATGTTACATCGTATTTCTATCTGTGTTTCTTATTTCATGGTACTGCTTTAAATAAAAAGTAAATGTTGCTGATCATTTTTTATATCACTATGTACACTAAAAATATTAAACGTTTGTACATGAAAAGGTATATGTAATATAGCAGTTACTTACAAAATCTTATACATGTATTCAAGACAATCTATGAATTATTTCAAAATGGTGCTAAACCTTACACTGTTAACAGCATGTCACACCAAAATGAAGTTGATTCTACTACTTCTACAAAAAAAGACAATATATATTAATACTTTTTGTTACAAAGTCCACTATGTATATATACCATTGTCCACTGTGTATAACTGTGGATTGGTTTTCTGGCTATTTTTTGATAATCCTTTCTTTCAGAGGTCTGTTTCTGTCCATTAATGATAGAGGACATCTCTATGAGATGATATGCAATTGGCCTGAGCTTGATGTTAAGGCAAGAACAAAACTTTCATCCATTCATCTTAACTTGTTCACATCTATTGACACATTTACACTAAGAGAGAATTAGAGAGAGAGAGAGAGGTGTAGTTTGGTATCAGAGGTCAGTAAGATAATCAAAATGATTGCTGCATTTAACACAGGCCTCTTATTTGATAGTGTGAAATAGAAGTACAAGTATCTTGTTAGCTCACTGGAGCCAATTCTCCTGGGTTTTTTCTGATCAACATTTGTCCATCTTTCATCTGTTGAATGTTAACTTTTCACATTTTCTACAACTTCTCAAAAGCCAGGTTTCTACCAAACTTGGTACAAAGCATCCTTGGTAATGGAAATTCAACTTTATGTACATAAAGGGTCAAGGATGGGGCCACATTTGAAAATCTTCTCTCTTTTTTTTTGTCTAGAAATATAAATTTATAGGGAAAAATTTTAGGGTTCTCTGTAGGAACAACATGGCCACAAATAGTCATATTAATGCATGAGCATCTTCAATTAGTGTAAGTAAGTTTGTTAAAAGCATGGCCTCTTTGGCTAGGGCAGCAGTAAATGTTTGACACAAGAAAAAAATTCTTTAAAAATCTTCTCAAGACTATCAGAGGCCACAATTAGTCATATTTAATACAAGCATCTCAGTGTTATGTATAAGTTTTGATAAAACATGTCCCTTTGGGCTAAGTGGGACTATAAGAGGAGTCAAATTTTGACATAGGAATATATAGGACAAAATCTATAAAATAGATTCTTCTTAAGAACTAGTCAAAAAGTTAAGCATGCCCATATTGTATAAATGCATATTTATTTTGATTATGACTTTTGGGGCAAGGACTGGGTCATAATTGGGGATCAAAGTTTTATGCAGAAATGTATGGCAATAATGCCGTAATTGATATTCACAAGAACTGAAATTTGAAAGGCTGACATTTGAGCCTTAATACACTATAAATTCATATTGTTGGAATCGTGGAGTTGGGTCAATAAGGGCTTTTGTGTATCTACATGGTCATTAGTAAGGAAGAGAAAATTCACTCAGGTGAGCATTGTGGACCTTTGGTCTCTTATTAATATTATCAATCCTGTATGTATTTACTTTTTTTTTTAAATAACTGTCTGAGCATAACTTCCTTTAACTTTTTCTGATCTTATCATACAAAGTAATTTCTTGTAAATGAACCATGATAACTTATACACTCAGTAGAACAGAAATTTTTATATGCCCTATCAGTATCATTGATATATTTCAGACAGATTTCATTTTGCATCATTTACTTTTTTCTTTTGGGTTTCTTTCAAATTAAGTTTGTTTTATTTGATACAATACCATCACTACTACTTCACACATGTTTAATGTTTCTTGATTTCAAATTCTGTGCCCAACTGAGTTAATTTGGCTTGGCTGTGTTATTTCAAAATCAATCAAGATTAAAGGAAAATGAATGCCTATAGCAATGTCAGTATAAATGTATATGATAATTTATGTGATACAGATTGTAAATGAGGTCTTTTTTTTTTGCAGGCAGTTGTGGCTACAGATGGGGAGAGGATCCTAGGTTTAGGTGACCTTGGGGCTTATGGAATGGGAATTCCTGTTGGAAAGCTGGCCCTCTACACTGCCCTGGGAGGTATTCCCCCAGAGCAGCTCCTTCCTGTTATGTTGGATGTTGGCACAAACAATGAGGTATTGGTGGTTTTCCCCCCTAATAGTTAATTTTTTTCTATGCAGCTGTACAATTATAGTACCATCAGAAAAATAAACAATTTTAATAAACATGAAGTGAAATTATTTCAGAAAGGGCTGTTAAGCATAAGTATATTTTTTTAATATACTTTTTAGCTCTAATGAGGTACATGTTGTCATTTTAAGTTTTATCAAATATTTGAGGACTATTTTTCAGGCTTTGTTAAATGACCCGCTGTACATTGGACTGCGACAGAAGAGAGCTACTGGTCAAGTTTACGATGATTTTATTGATGAATTTATGGAGGCTGTGAGGAAAAGGTACTTAACAGAGATTTAAAATGAATAGAAATATTGTTCTCTCTATTAAGTACAGGAAGATGTGCTTAATTATAGTGTAATACATACAAAGTAACTGTTATATACATGCACATGTATTTATATAACATCAATAGACATACACCTGTATTAATACATGTATTTGCAATCAAACAGGAGTTCAGTGTCATGATGATATCTTAACTACTTATTTGTATTTATCTAGGTATGGCCAAGATACATTGGTCCAGTTTGAAGACTTTGGAAACCACAATGCCTTCAGATTTCTTGAGAAGTACAGAGACAAGTTCTGCATGTTTAATGATGATATCCAAGGTAGAGACTCTTCTTATTAAAGCAAGAGGAAAAAGTCAAATATTTTACTCTTTAAGTTGTTCACTTGAGGCATCATTAATTCAGCTTGACATAAAACTGTACCGGTTGTGTCATTTTAGTAATCTATTACATCATTATCACGCAAAGGTTTACTTTTTTTGCTGCAGGGACAGCATCAGTGGCAGCCGCCGGGGTTTTCGCCTCCCTGAGAATCACTGGCAAAAAACTCAGGGATAATGTGTTCCTCTTCCAGGGTGCAGGGGAGGTAAATTCCAACTTTAGTTGTTTTTTTTGATAAATTCATTCTCCTGACTTATTTAAAGTGTGAGAAAATCAACAAGAGAAAAGAGTATGAATAAAGTCAAGTATCATTAGAAAAAAAAAAGAAAGTTGAGGCTCATTGTGACCTCAGTATGATATAAAAATTAACATATATGGGGTATAATTTGTTGTTTTAGGCCAATTTAGGTATAGCTACCCTGATTTCCCTGGCCATGCAGGAAGAAGGGGCAAGTAAAGAGGAAGCTGACGGTAAAATGTGGCTAGTGGACTCCAGGGGTCTCCTCGTCAAGGTATTGTCATGCAAATGAAAGAACTTTTTCAAAATTATTACAGATCATACATGTATATGTATTTATGTGTAAATTAAAGAGACAAATGATTTGTGTGTAATAACAGGATAGGCCAAAGGGTGGAATCACTGGACACAAGGCAGTCTTTGCCAAAGATCACCCACCTGTGGACACACTAGAACAGGCTGTAAAGACGGTCAAGCCTACCGCTATTATAGGTAAACAATCTCTTCAATCTTAGGAATGGAATTCAAATTAAAGTGGGGTTTTTTTTCAGTGTTGGATTGAGATTGTTTTTAAAAAAAATTAGAAATCTAAAATAAACCCATTTGTTATAATTTTGAAAATATTTTTTTCCTATGGTTATTCATTAGTATTGCAGCTGATTATGTAGAATTTGCCCAATTTTTTTAGGCTATTAACTTCTCAATAATTTTATGAACTGCTTCTAAGCAGTGGTGTATTATTGCACTGTTTGAAATCCTGCTTTTTTGAGTACTTGACACTAAGTAAGTCCTTAAAAAATGAAATTGGGGATGGCTTTATTGTAAATCTGGGCATTTGAGGGTGTTATTAAATTTAAATTGTTTATCAGCACAATGGTATAATTTTCACCGAGATGCAGATGAGAAGAGACAAGTTTAGGATGATCATTGTAACAAATCTTTCTGCAGTTATTTTATCGTGTTTATTTGTGTAATTAGGGGCAGCTGCAGTTCCTGGTGCTTTCACAGAAGGCATCGTCAGAGATATGGCAGCATACAATGAACGTCCAATCATATTCGCTCTTAGTAACCCTACAAGTATGTCAGAGTGCTCAGCTGAAGATGCCTATAAATGGAGTGATGTAAGTCTGGAACAGTCTGCAATGTTCATATACAGTCAAACCTTGTTATCTCAAACTTAATGGGACAGAGGGAAAAAAACAAGATATCAGGGGATTCAAGATGTCAAAGTTAAAATACTTTAAAGAAAAATGCATGGGACTTCCTTATCACTTTGCATATCATGGTTTCCATGGTATTTGAGATATCAGTGATATACCAAAGTTCAACTATATTTTCATTGCTAACCATTCATAAAGGCTTTAAGATGATTAGAGTATTTCAGTAAAACATTATCCTACCTCAAGACTCGAGAATATTTAAAGAGATACATGTACTACCCATAGAATTTTTTCTGAAGTTATTCATTCTTAGATGATATTTTATCACTGAAGAACGTGGTATGGAAACTTTCATTTTATTTGTATCAATATTTTACTATTATTATGGAAAAACTGACAGTTTGATTTTTTTTTTAATTCAGGGCAGATGTGTGTTTGCCAGTGGAAGTCCTTTTGACCCTGTACTTGTTGATGGCAAGGTCATGGTACCGGGTCAAGGAAACAATGCTTACATCTTCCCAGGAGTGGCGCTGGCTGCCATTACATGTGGAATCCGCCACATTTCAGAAAAGGTTTTCCTAACAGCTGCACAGGTATAACAACCGCAAAGTCTTTTAAAAATGAAAACTCATAATGGATAGAAAGAATGCAAACATGGTAGAAGTTAAGCCTTTATTATTATACTTGCTTAAATGGACACATGTAAAATATTGCCCACAGCATCAAGCAATTTAAGGAGGAAATATTGAGTCCTTGAAATGGGTTTTGAAAAAAGGTCTCAATAATCAAGTGACATAAAAATTGAAATATTTTTTCTGTAATCAGTGTGTTGGATTTAAGACATAGCGTGGGCATGCGTGAAAAGCTAATGAGATACTTGTGTTGCAGACCTTGGCAGGATTAGTGACAGAAAAGGACCTTGCTGAAGGTCGTGTGTACCCACCACTGAAGACAATCCGAGAGTGCTCCATACAGATTGCCTCTGCCATTGCTGAGGAAGTATACAAGGAGAAAATAGCCTCATACTACCCCGAGCCAGAAGATAAAATGGCATTTATTCGGGAGAATATCTACTCTACAGATTATGAATGCTTTGTCCCTGAGACTTGGAGCTGGCCAAAGCCAGGAGAACAATAAAGATGAACACAGTAGGACAACAAATTAACAAACAAATTATTTATAAAAAAGAAATTGAACATGTGAAGGGGAAAGCACAGTGTTTTTAGTTTAGGTTTATGTGTTTCTGTCCACCATGTTTTCAAATTTGTTGAAGGAAATATAATATCTGTTGTCGATATTTATTGTTTTGCAATGTATTTCTTACATTATACTCCCTTGTCATAACTTTAACAAACTTTACTTATAGAATATAAAATTTAATTACCTTGGTTTGCTTGTGCTGTGATTATTTTCATTATGAGGTAACAAGATCACTGGTGATGATAAAAGAATTGTAATGTTTACATGTAGAGTTCACAAAAGTTTTTCATTCATGTATATTTTTTGAAGAGTTCATCTTTAGTACCATGTTTAGTAAATGCATTATTGTGTGGTGGCTGGAGATCATAAGGTCTCTTTAAACAATTTGTTAGAATCATTGTTAGTACCAGAAATACATATCTGAATTTGTTTTCTGTGTATATGTGCCATGCTAAAAATCTTTTTGTTTTACAATTTTAATCAGACTTCTGAGACCCACCTGACTTGCAGAGCCCTGGCATCATTTTACTCCAGTGTCATTCAATATCAATGAAACTTTTACTATAGTTAGAAGATCTGAGATGCTTGTTTTTCTGAGAGCACTGCATAATAATTCAAAGTTTATAGAAAATAAGTCATGTTATGTTTCCTGATTTTGAATACCGGTTTTATATGTAATAATAAAATGTGAAGTCTTCTTATGATCTGTTTGAAAGTAAATTTTGATGCAATATACATAACAAATGTAGAATATCTTGTTTCATTGTCATTTAAGAACTTAACAATATCTGTGTATGTTTATATATATTCAATAGATACCTACGTACTTCAAAGAGTATGATATACCTTAATTTGCAGTAAAATGATTGTGTGATGTAAGAATCTCCCTATATTCCTCCTACAAAGTAATATCATTTACTAGGTTTATGTCACTAACACTGCTTTGTTTTTTTTTTTGTTTTTTTTCTTCTTCATTTAAATAGTTTGTTTCAATGTAAATGTCTTTATGATGTACTGGATACAGTCTGAAGGAACATGACATGTTGAATATTTTTACAAAGTAAATATTAATACAGGCACTGCCAAAGTAATCGCCAAACTAACAATGGTGAAGGGAAATAAAAACCATGTACTAATTACTAAAATGGGTCAAACAGGTCCAAATTAAAATGAAAGTTAAATGTTATACTCTTTATAATTTTACTGAGTTATCTTATAAACATCTCAGGCAACAAAATGAACAAAAATAAAACTTATTAAAGGGAGTAAAGAAATATCATTTTATATACATGTAACTGTACTACCATGTATTTTGTCCTACCCTCCTATATATGTCTATTGTGTAGAATTCAGTAGTTTTAGACCTGTATCATTCTACTGATAGTATGAAGAGAACTGTGAATGAGACTGACTGTTGGAAGGCAATGGATTGTTAAAATTTACATTCAGTATTTCAATGACATCTTTCTCAGTATTAAGGTACTACTAACCTTAACATTGACTATTTAGCAAATTAACACCACAGTTTTTCAACTATTGTAGAAATCTCGCTAAGTTTTGTTAGTATTATAGTAGTGTTATTGACCTTTAACATTTTTCTGGTGAGTAGTTAATCAGACGTTTATGTGATTAAAGTGCAAATGGCATATCATTTTGTAAGAGGTTTTTCTTTTTTAATCAAAAAGGATGAAAATTTGGAATGTCTAGCAAAAGATTACTGAGAAAATAATATGATAGTTTATAACTTGCACCAAATTTGGGTTATCATACATGTATGTAAAAAAGTGGCCTTGGGGAGAAGTTCCTATCACAAGTTTGATGGAGGCTACAAGTGATGTTGAATGATCACAGGGTTCTTTGTGTTTTAGAATGTCCTTAGTGTTTTGTGTATCAGTGTGTTGTACTGTATATGTTGGATTAATTAATCACTAGATAACAGCATTATGAGAATTGGAGACATTTGTTTTGAAATTCATTTTATACCAAAAAGAAAATACCATATAAGCAGAATTTTTAGCGAGGATTCAATTTTGGCATTATTAGCGAGGGTTCTGGGATAGCTACATGTAAAATTGAATATTGCTAACAATTTATTTTGTATCGGTTGTTATAACTATCTCTCTTGACATTATAAAATTGCTAAAATTACTTCTTGCTAAAAATATATACCATTTTTTGGATAAATTGCTAAATTTGCGTCTCGCTAAAATTTCCACTTATACATATTTATTTGTCTATTATTCAATGAATCCCCCCCCCCCCCCAAGTTTGTAGATGTCTTGTACTCATTTGTATCGAGTTAGCTTTTTGGGGTTTGTTTTAAATAACATGTAAATACAGTAGTTTAAATACATGAATAAAATGAAAGAATTAATTTTAGTATGAGGGAAAACAGTTTAAGGAAATTGAATAGAAAGAAAAGAAATTGTACACCAAAAACTGATGTTAATTATTGTTGCATAACCTCAGAGAACTGTTCATACATATTACATGTAAGTGAAAAGAATTCAACAATTATAATGCTTTATTATCAACTTTTCCTATTTCTATTTTTTTATTTACTTCGTAAGTTTTTGTTGTTTTATCAGAATAATTCAGACACAGTGCTTATATAGTGCTTCTTTAAGGAGTGCACACTTTTTTTCTTGCCTTATAAAACATATTTTTTTATAGCCACGGGATTGTTTTAAAAGAAATAGAAATACAGTGTAAATGTTGTTAGTAATATAAATACAAATCATGGAACAAAACAACTGGTTTCATATCAGGGTATTGAAGGATAAAGTTCAAGATGATTGTTAACATTTGCAAATTGCTTAGTTTTGTAATAAAACTCAAAAGTTTATATACTGTTGATTTTTTAATGGACACAGTTTGTGCTCGTATGATTTCACCCTGCAAGTGAATTCCAGTCTTTAGTTCACCTGAGCTGAAAGCTCAAGTGAGCTTTTCTGATCACTTGTTGTCCCTCGTACGTCCGTCCATCTGTCTGTCTGTCTGTAAACTTTTCACATTTTCAACTTCTTCTCAAGAACCACTGGGCCAATTTTGACCAAAATTGGTACAAAGTATCTTTGGGTGAAGGGAAGTTTAAATCATTAAAATGAAGGGCCAAGCCCCCTCACAAAGGGAGATTATCAAGAAAAGACAAAAATAGGGTGGGGTCATTAAAAAATCTTCTTCTCAAGAACCACTGGGCCAGAAAAGCTGAAACTTACATGGAAGCATCATGGGGTAGTGGAGATTTTAAATTGTTCAAATCATGACCCCTGGGGGTAGGGTGGGGCCATAATGTGATGTAAGAACATTGAAATATATACAGAAAATCTTTAAAAATCTTCTTCTCAGGAACCAGTGGGCCAGAAAAGCTGAAACTTACATATTAGAAGCATTGTTGGGTAGTGTAGATTCTAAATTGTACAATTCATGACCCCGGAGGGTTGGGTGGGGCCACAATGTTGAATCAAAGTTTTACATTGAAATGTATAGGAAAAATCTTTAAAAATCTTCCTCTCAAGAACCAGTGTGCCAAAAAAGCTGAAACTTACATGGAAGCATTGTTGGGTAGTGTAGATTGTAATTTGTTCAAATAATGACCCCCGGGGATAGGGTGGGACAACAGTGGGGAATCAAAGTTTTACATTAAAATATATAGGAAAAATCTTTAAAAATTTCTTCTCAAGAACCAGTGTGCTAGAAAAGCTGAAACTTACAGGGAAGCATCATGGGGTAGTGTAGATTCTAAATTGTTCAAATAATGACCCCTGGGGATAGGGTTGGGCAACAATGGGGAGTCAAAAGTTTTACATTGAAATATATAATTAGGAAAAATCTTTAAAAATCTTCCTCTCAAGAACCAGTGTGCCAGAAAAGGTGAAACTTACACAGAAGCATTGTTGGGTAGTGTAGATTGTAATTTGTTCTAATTATGACCCCCGGGGATAGGGTGGGGCAACAATGGGGAATCAAAGTTTAACATCAAAATATATAGGAAAAATCTTTTTAAAAATCTTCTTATCAAGAACAGTGGGCCAGAAAAGCTGAAACTTACATGGAATTATTCTGGGGTAGTGAAGATTCTAAATTGTTCAAATAATGACCCCCGGGGATAGGGTGGGGCCACAATGTTGAATCAAAGTTTTACACTGAAATATATAGGAAAAATATTTTAAAAGCTTCCTCTCAAGAACCAGTGTGCCAGAAAAGGTGAAACTTACACGGATGCATTGTTGGGTAGTGTAGATTGTAATTTGTTCAAATTATGACCCCCGGGGACAGGGTGGGGCAACAATGGGGAGTCGAACGTTTTACATTGAAATATATAGGAGAAATCTTTAAAAATCTTCCTCTCAAGAACCAGTGTGCCAGAAAAGCTGAAACTTACATGGAATCATTGTTGGGTAGTGTAGATTGTAATTTGTTCAAATAATGACCCCCGGGGATAGGGTGGGGCAACAATGGGGAATCAAAGTTTTACATTAAAATATATAAGAAAAATCTTTAAAAATCTTCTCAAGAACCAGTGGGCCAGAAAAGCTGAAACTTACTTTGAAGCATTCTGGGGTAGTGAAGATTCTAAATTGTTCAAATAATGACCCCCGGGGATAGGGTGGGGCCACTATGTTGAATCAAAGTTTTACATTGAAATATATAAGAAAAATCTTTAAAAAGCTTCCTCTCAAGAACCAGTGTGCCAGAAAAGGTGAAACTTATATGTACATGGATGCATTGTTGGGTAGTGTAGATTGTAATTTGTTCAAATTATGACCCCCGGGGATAGGGTGGGGCAACAATGGGGAATCAAAGTTTTACATTAAAATATATAAGAAAAATCTTTAAAAATCTTCTCAAGAACCAGTGGGCCAGAAAAGCTGAAACTTACTTTGAAGCATTCTGGGGTAGTGAAGATTCTAAATTGTTCAAATAATGACCCCCGGGGATAGGGTGGGGCCACTATGTTGAATCAAAGTTTTACATTGAAATATATAAGAAAAATCTTAAAAAAGCTTCCTCTCAAGAACCAGTGTGCCAGAAAAGGTGAAACTTATATGTACATGGATGCATTGTTGGGTAGTGTAGATTGTAATTTGTTCAATTTATGACCCTTTGTTTATAGGGTGGGGCAACAATGGGGAATCAAAGTTTTACATTGAAATATATAGGAAAATCTTTAAAAATCTTCTTCTCTAGAACCACTAGGCCAGAAAAGCTAAAATTTACAGGGAAACATTCTGGGGTAGTGTAGATTCTAAACTGTTCAAATCATGACCCCCGGGAGTAGGGTGGGGCCACAATGGGGAATCAAAGTTTTACATTGAAATATATAGGAAAAACCTTTAAAAATCTTCTTCTAAAGAACCAGTGGGCCAGAAAAGCTGAAACTTCCATGGAAGCATGCTTGGGCAGTGTGGATAATAATTTATTCAAATCATGACCCCCGGGGATAGGGTGGGGCGACAATGGGGAATCAAAGTTTTACATTGAAATATATAGGAAAATTCTTTAAAAATCTTCTTCTCAAGAACCACTAGGCAAGAAAAGCTGAAACTTACAGGGAAACATCCTGGGGTAGTGAAGATTCTAAATTATTCTAATCATGACCCCGGGGGATAGGGTGGGGCCACAATACGTATTACAATGGGAAAATCTGGTGAAGAACAGCAGGGCCAAAGTTACTCAGGTGAGCGTTGTGGCCCATGGGCCTCTTGTTTTCACTAAGATTGCAAGATATTCATGAGGATTGCTTTAATTTGAAATATTTTCCGAAAAATTGTATTCTTTGAAAGAAAATTCTGTAAACATCTTTAGTTTCATGTGTTTAATATTTCACGATTTCGTATGTTGGTACATTTCACGGTGGTTTTAATTTTGCGGTCACTGAATGTCTTTTTTCTATAGATTTGCAATTTTGTAAATTATTCTTTAAAAAAAAAGAAGAAAGTTAAGGTAAATTATTTAAAATAAACAGATCATTAACTAACTTTAACCCGTCATTATGTTATTAAACACAGATTTCCTAGTGATTTTCAATTGTTTACTATTTCAGTGTTACGAAATAGAAAAAAGGATTTTAAAGTGTATGTTTGAATGCTACATTGATTTGTCATCAATATTCACCTTGGCTTAATTTTAACGAAAAATTCTATTACGAACATGGTGAAATTAAAAACCCCGCAATGTATTCCACTTAGCAAGGAAAAATCGACATTTAACAAGATGTGTTTGTGAAACACTTATGCCCCCGTATGGCAACTCATATCAAAGGCTAAACTTTCTCAAATACAAATCAAATATGTTGGTACCCAAAGTAAGGTCTTGTCTCGAGGAATATACCTTTGAAATATGAAAACCCTAGCAACAACCATTGAATAGATATGGAAAAGGTTAAAGTTTTTCAAAAGTAAGTCAAATATCAAGTTCAAATGGTCAAAATTAATGGTGCCCAAGGAAAGGCCTTCTAACAAGAAATACACATGTGAAATATGAAAGCCCTGGCACCACCAACCGTTCAGAAGTTATAACCAAAGTTGAAGTCTTTCAAAAGTAGGTCAAACTCCAAGGTGAAAGGGTCAAAGTTGTTTGTATCCAAAGGAAGGTCTTGTCCCAACAATTACATATGTGAAGTATGAAAGCCCTAGCACCAAGCGTTCAAAAGTTATGGCCAAAGTTAAAGTTTTGCAAAAGTAGGTCAAACTCTAAGGTCAAAGGGTCAAAGTTGTTGGTATTTAAGTGAAGGTCTTGTCACAACGATTACATATGTGAAGTATGAAAGCGCTAGCACCAATCGTTCAAAAGTTATGGCCAAGGTTAAAGTTTTGCAAAAGTAGGTCAAAGTCCAAGGTCAAGGTCAAAGGGTCAAAGTTGTTGGTATCCAAAGAAAGGTCTTGTCACAAGGTATACACTTGTGAAATATGAAAGCCCTGGCTTCAACGGTTTAAAAGTTATGGCTAAGGTTAACGTTTTTTTCAAAAGTAGGTCAAACTCCAAGGTCAAGGTCAAAGGGTCAATGTTGCTGGTATCTAAAGAAAGGTCTTGTCACAAGGAATACACCTGTGAAGTTTGAAAGCCGTAGCACCAACTATTCAAAAGTTATGGCCAAGGTTAAAGTCTGAAAAAATATTGCAAAAGTTGGTCAAACTCCAAGGTCAAGGTCAAAAGGTCAAATTCTATGGTACCAAAAGAAAGGTCTCGTCACAAAGAATACACATGTGAAAAATGAAAGCCATAGTTCCAACCAATCAGAAGTTATGGCCAAGGTTAAAGTTTTTGCGGACAGACAGCTAGACAGACAGACGGACGGACAGGGCAAAAACTATATGCCCCCGAATCTTCGATTACGGGGGCATAAAAAGGAAAGCACATCGAAGTCGAATTATTTCTGACTGTTTACAGAACAGTAAATAGTAAATTAAGCTTTTTTAGCTTTTGGCTCAGATTAGCTTTTCTGATTGAAGTTTGTTGTCTGCCTATTAACTTATCTTATTTTTGACTTCTCTAGATTCTAGAGAACCACGGCACTTAAATTTCAATCAAACATAGGGAGATGATTGAGAAAATGCAAAACAGGGAGGATGTCTTTAATAATCTTCTCAACCACTGGGCCAGGAAAGATTCAATTGCGTAAAAGCTTCGATTCAAGTTTTGTTCAAATCATGGCCCCATGGGATTGCCTGGACCACAATAAAAGATCCAAGTTTTCCATGGGAAAATGTAGGGGGAAAAATCTGAGAAAATCTTCTCAAGAACAGTAGGGCTATGATTATTAGTCATATTAATATGCAGGCAGTCTAAGGTCGCGTAGATTCAAATTTGTTTAAATCATGGTCTCAAGGAGCAAGCGGGGTC